TTTCACTTCACCGGTTCAATTGACGGTCCGGGTTTTAAAACATTGTCTCGAATTAATGTGGGATATAATCCTTTACTCATGAATCTAACACATTGCACTCAATAGAACTTTGTATCTCAAGTAAGAAGGATCACATTTCTAGCCATTGTGTATCACTTGTGGTGGAGCAGGAATCAATAAGTGTTTAAGAAAATATTGCATTCTCCTGAATATATTGTTCATATGATTCTTAAGGATGTTCGAAGTCCAGTGATAGGATGGAAAAAAGTGGATAGAAATCAAGAAAATTTACAACTATGTGCTGAACTTGATATTCCTTTACTTTATTGATGACACTGTATAGACTTGTAGTGTACATTACAAATTTCTTTTCTTGATTTGATGTATTTGACTAAGGGACAATTCCTTCTATAGTGTACATTTTTCTCTGGATCAATAAAAGATTAGGAATTTACAAAAAGAAAAAACCCTTAGATTACAAATGACTTTGATTTGAAGATTGAAACTTTATTGCCTTTCATTCTTCTCAAAATGAGACACGGGTGGATGTTGGCCTAATATGGGGCCAAAAAGATTTTGAGAATTACTTTATATAAGTTCGATATATAGAGAGTTACCTCTAACCTTTTTTTTTTCAGACTGAAAGATCTTTAAATTTGGCTGATTATGTTCACTGGACGGAATATGGTGGATATGTTTGGGAAAAATAATACTAAATTTTGCTATTCGGCCTTGTCCCCAATTTTGATTAATTTCCACTCCCCTGGTTCTTGGGCACCATGTTCATTTACTTGTTTCTTGAGTGTTGACTCAAGAGTTTGTGTGGTTAATATGAGTAATAAATAGAGCTGCTTCCCTAAGCCTCTAATGGGTTCATCAAATTAGAAAGAATAAACGTCCAAATCCCAGGCCATAACACCCTCTTCTAAGTGACTACTAGAATGGAGTAAAATCAGGCTGTAGGTTAGGGCTGGCTGGCTGACTGTCTGCTTCTGTTAGTGCTCCACTGCTAGAGAGTGGATGTATACTATCTCTACATTGACTGAGGTGTACCATATCCATTAATATGTGCCTTCTGCCATCTCCATGCTACCCGCAAACTCTCCTGAAGATCGGTCTATTTTGTTGTCCAGTTTAGTTCTGTCCTAATTTTGGTTGGATCACTGTAAACTTCAGCATAATCACCAGACCAACGGGGAAGGTAGTCGACCTTGAGAGGTACTCCTGTGGCCTTCTTGCAGGCCTCCACAAACTCCTTTACGGATCAACCTGAAATAGAAAAATATGATCCGCATAAGAAACGGCTAATATGGTCAATTAAGTTACAGGTTATAACAAGAAATGTCTTACCTCTCGCTGTTCCAACATTGTAAATTCCAACTTTCCCAGGCTCTGCCTTCTCAAGGGCTTTGACTTGAGCATCAACAAGATCAGTGACATCAATATAATCCCGGATACAAGTTCCATCTTCAGTCGTGTAGTATGTTCCTCTCACATATAGCACGTAGTAATTTAACCAAAATGAACCCAAGAAAATACACAATAAGGGTACCAACAAGTCCAGTCAAATTCAAATAGTAATATATTTGAGCTTGAACTTGAAGATATTTACCCTACCTCAAACTTGAAATTGATGAATATTTATTTGGGAAAGGGAGCCAACATCGGTGCTCTTATATTAGGGCCGTATAGACTTTATATTAAAATATAAATATTACACTATCCCCACATTTGGTAATAGTAGTGGCCTAGAAAGGAAAGGGTTTCTAATTTGTCCATTCTATTCCAAGTTTGATATAGATTATTTAAGTGAAAAAGTTCTTGTTCTTTTCCTCTGAACTACTATATATTTTTTAAGTAGAATCCCCAAAATTCAAAAAAATATCTAGGAAAAACTCTTTCCAACTTTATTACAAAATATCCAAAACAGTAGGATGTCAAATTTATCCTTATAAATCTTTGTTTACTACCTATCTTAGGATATTTGTGAACTTAATTAGTAATTGAATACATTTTTCATAACAAATAATTTTTCTTGTGTTAAAATAAAATTTTCTTTCTTACTAGCAAACATATGCTTTAAAATATTTTTTATTCTTTGACTTTGACTAATTGTGTGGAAAATTTTTTGAATTTCATATAAAAAATAAGAGCATTATAAAAATTTAAAATTTTATCATATTTGTTTTGATTCATGTAATTTACGTTGCTAATTATATATCTTGCGGATGCAAAACTATAACATAAAAATCTATAGGCTACAATGAATCAAATATTACAATTGAAAAATTTGAGTACCAATCCCCAATTATTCTGAAAGCAAAAAATGACTAAATTTCACGTAAATAAACCAATAACGTAGTAGAACAAATAAAGCAAAAGTAATAAAAATGGTATGTTCTATAAATAAATCCAGAATAATTAACTCAAGTTTGTATTAATTGTATTCTATTCTGGCATCTAAATCTTGATTGTATCAAACACGGAAAGATGAAAGAACAATCTACTCTATTTGTATACTAGACATTGAAATTATAAAAAAAAAAATCTTCCTACCATTTTGGATATCGTAACCAAAACCTATTCATTATATCAAACACCGGAATTAGAAGGTTCACAAGTTCAATGGACAATTTAGGAATATTATTTTAAGACTTGACAGTCAACTTCATTGACTAACGTCAATGAACCAACGTCAAGTATACATTCCTCTGGCAAATAGGATTAACCTTTCCTTAGCCTCAAGTGCAGCAACCCTGTTTTGGAAACTTGCGTAATCGTGTCTTTCTTTCCTAATCCGTTTCTTTTGTGGATTTGCTCTTAGGAAAATCTGTCCCTATTACCTCAGTCTCGATTCAAGAATTTAACTTACGTAGCCCATTCGCCTCTTATAACAGAAGACAAGAAAATATACAGAGCGATAGATAAATGGCTGACAACATTCCTATAGGGTTTCGTTTTAGACCCAGTGAGGAAGAACTGATCTCCCTACTTTGGCTGAAGGTTACAAACCAGCTTGATGAAACGGACCATGTGAAGGAGAAGATACTTTACGGCGAAGGTGCTGAACCGTGGGATGTTTTGGGGGATGATGATGTTCGTTGGCAATTCTGTGATGATAGCGGAAAAGGGGCTAGCACGAAAAGAATGGTCTATGTCTTTACCAAGTTGAGGAAATTGAGCGCCAAGAAAACTGCGAGAACGGCTGGTTTGGGGACGTGGGACGGAGAAACGAAGTCGTACCCAGTTGAGGGTATGATTACTGGTGAGAAAATTGGGTCAAGGAGGATGCTAAGTTATGTTCTGAATTCTGGTTCAATACGGGTGAAAGGTGGCTGGATAATACATGAGTATTGGCTGGATGGTGCATTATTGAATGGGTTAAACAGCAGTCATAATACTGATTATGTTCTTTGTAGGATAATAAAGGATGATTCTAAGTATACCAAAGTCAAAGAATCTGCAAAGAAAGGAAAGGTTGCCAAAGAAAAGGAGGTTGGAAATCGTGGATGCCGTGAAGTTGTCCTGGGCAAGAGAAAGATGAATCTTGAACAAGAAAGTTCACAAGCGAGTAAGAAGTCATGTAGCAATCCAATGGATGAGTTGCCTAATTTGGTTAATTGTGACTAGAGGTGGCAAATCAACCCACTTAATTAAATTTACCCATACCCGTTCATGAATAGATGGGTATGGGTATCTTAAATTTTTGTATATGGGTATAAATGGGTTACCCAATAATACCCATTTATTAAATGGGTATTATTGGGTAACCCATCAAACCCAATTAATCCATTTAGAATTCTCTTCCCCCCAAGTCTCTTCTTGTCCCCCACCCATTTTTTTTTCAAATTTTTCATTTTGTCATGATGTTAACTACTTTTTTTTCATTATTATTATTATTATTATTATTTGTTGGTTTTATCTTATTATTTTATTTTCTCTTAGTTTGTTAACTTGCTTATTTTTCAGCATTACTCATTTATGATAAATTTTAGCCTATTTTCTTATCTTTCTAAAATGAAATTTTAAATTTATATATGAAAAAAATGTTAGGGGTTCAAAATTTTTGGATTAAGTTTTTATATTAATTTTTATAGTACTTAATTCAAATTTTTATATTCTTATTATTCAATTATTAAATAATAGGTAATTTTGTGACAGAGTATAAATGAAAAAAAATTGGTAATTAAGTTTATTGAACATTATAAATAAATATTTAAAACTAATGATGGGTACAAAGAGTGGTATAAATTGATAACTTAGTTTGCAAAAATGAATTTAAATGAGTTTACAAAAAGTTAAAATAAATGGGTTATAAATGGGTAATTGGATTACCCAATTCATTTTTTGACTTACCCATTTATACCCATCTAATTAAATAGGTATAAATGAGTTGACTCACTTATACCCATTACCCATTTTACCCAACCCAAACCCGCCCAAGTCACCCATTGTGACACCTCTAATTGTGACTATGATGGACCCATTTTGACACCTCTAATTGTGACTATGATGGATACACAAGAAGCCTACAAACATATACAGGTTTATTGGATGATGTTGTGCAGCCAATCACCTGTTGGAATGGCGACCCTTATTTGGGATCAGTTCCTGATATGGTGCACTTAGCCCTTAGAAATTGACTTTGTAGTGGTTTACATTAAAAAAGAAAAAAACGGTAGTTAAATATTTGATTTTGTAGTTTTGGATACTAAATTTATTAGTAGTGGGCTGCGTGTGTGTGATGATCACATAAAACAAGATGGGTGGATTGTAGAATTTGAGTTTATCGTTTTAGCAACTTACTATACCAGCTTTTACGAATTTTATCATGCTTACACTTGGCATATTTGTTATTTTCCATAAATCTATTTTCTAGTTCTAAAGGCAACACTACTAAATCAGCTCATTGACACCAAATGAATAAATTGGGAAAATCCATCATACTACTATTGTGAGGTATTTAAAAACTAATTCTCTTGATGATACAATAAGAAAAAGTTTGTAAAACAAAAATTTAGACTAAAATATCCCCAAAAAACAGTATAGGCATAAATATTGACGTAAAATAGAATGTTAAAACTGCAATGCATTGTAGCAGAAACATGATTTGCCTTGAATCAAATCCAGTAATAAGCCATAAGCCCCTTGACATTAACAGCCAGTCTTCAAGACTTCGAAGTATCTGGATTCCATAAAAGGGTGAGCAGTTATATCGAAAAAGCTGAAGTGGAGTTTATGTGATTGTGATGCTTAGAAAATGCAAAAAGTAATGATTTTCAACTGTAGAAAGTACATAATCTTTTCAGCTTGAAAGGAACTAGCAATCCATCATGCAAAGTAAATGTTGCAAGTTATCTGGTACTCACCTCTAACTCTAAAAGTCAATTGTCCAAAATAGTTGGTTTCACAGCAAAATCTGTCAAATCTGTAATGAAGCCAATGAAACAAGTGAATTTGATGCTATTTATTTCTGTCATTTTTCCTTTTTTTTTTAATTTCTTCCAAAGAATTACAATAATTAGAATGCAATTATAGAATATTACCCTTTCTGCTTCTTCAAGGTTTTGAACATCATCTTCAACACAGCTGGAAGAATGTGGGGGGAGAAGCCAACTTTTAGTGGATAAAAGCACCTGCAACATCTTAGAACCCTTTCCACTAAATGAATCACGAATATAACCTGCTCTGCTAAATTTAGATTCCAGAGCAGCTCTGGAGACGGGAACAACTAACAGATCACGAGCCATATTTGAGAGAATGGGGAATCTATGATTATTGCCCTTCCACCAACCCAAAACATCAAAATAATCCCAATCTTGTTCAGTAGGTTCATCCAGATACCTCTCCAAATCTGATTTTCCATCAGCAAAAGCAGCAAGAGCTTCCTCCCTTTTCTTTTGAATCATATACTTCTCAAAGTCACTGCGAAAAGATCTTACACCTGATTCAGGTTCTTTCTCGCTAGAAGATGACTTTTCAGGTACATATAATCTTTTATATTCATCAAACAAGGTAAAAGCAGCCTCTCTCGCAATTTCTCCCATTTCTGGAGTCAAATGTAATTCTGAAGGTAAAGATTCAAGAATTTCCAACTTGTATCGAGGATCAAGGATAAGGGCAAGGTAGATTACCAAATTCATCTCTTTATATTTTCCCCAATAGTTTGTATATTTTTCCCTCAATCTCCTAGCCATCGAACTGATGCCCATTTCAGTACTGTCTTGCCATTCACTCAAGAGATGATGAACCTCAAACAACCGAGCAAAGATTGTGTTTGTTGTGACATGTCTAGAGCATGAAAGATGCAATGTTAGCCCATACAGGTGCCTCAATATCTGGATAAACCACTCGACCTTTTGCCAATCATCTCTGTTAGGCATACCAGCACCCCTAGTTTCACTTTTACAATGAGGATCTGATTCCTGAAACTTCTCAAAGGCTTTTTGGAGCTTTTGGGCTGTATCCAACATAAAAAAGGTGGAGATCCAGTTGGTGGGGACATCCATGCATAGCATTCTCTTGTTGCCTATTTTCTCTAATTCCACACATTCTTTAAACTTTATCAACCTAGCAGGAGAAAGCACAATAGAGTGGACCATTTCCCGAATGCGAGCAACTGATTCACCTATTTCTTGCAAGCTGTCAGAAGCCATAATTTTGATCACATTATCAATGTATCTTAGATGAAGATACTTGCCACCAAGCAAACTGTTCTCTGAATTAGAGAATCTTGTTTTCAAGTTATGAATGGCAACATCATTTGACTGCGAGTCCTCCACAGTTATAGCAAATATCTTATCTATTCCCCAATCAAGTAAGCACTTCTCAACTGCCTTTCCTATGGCCCCTGCACTATGATCAGATATCGGACAAAACTCTAACACATTTTTTTGCAGTTTCCATTTGGAATCTAGAAAATGGGCTTTGACACATAAATAAGTAGTTTCCTGCTCAGATGTCCATGCATCCACAGAAAGACTAACCCTTTTATTACACAAGATGCTCTTTAACTTTGTCTTCTCCTCCTCAAAAAGTTCATAGCAGTCCCGATTAACCGTCGAACACGATGGTATCCGAAAAGAAGGACATGCCAGGGACATGAAAATCCTAAACTTTTCCCTCTGAACATCGCTTGGAGTCTGTTCATCACAAATTAAGCTACGAGCAAGAGCTTTCCTACTATCTTTCCGACTAAATACAAACTTATCAGGATCTTGATTATCCCGAGCAGTCCACACAAAAGTTCTTATCAAGTGGTCCTTCATGATGTTAGGAATGGAATAAATATAATCTTCAAAACTTGAATTAACAACTCCTCACTAAGAGCTCGCCCAATATTCGGTAAAGGTAAAAATGGGGAAATAATTATTAACCAAAAACAGAACTTTTCTTAATGAACATTTTCCAGCAAATGCAAGGGAACTAGAGGGTATAGAGTAAAAGTGGCTAAGAAATGAAACACAAGAAAAGAAAACAAGAAGAATGATAATAATGGTAGTATATAATTGGGACAAAATGCAAACGGGGCAAAAAAAAAAAAAAAGGCAAGCTCAACCCACAATTCAGTTCAATTGAAAGAAGGGGAAAAAAATTCTTGAAGGGGATAAAAGGGCTTACAGTTGAGAGCAAGAGGCTGCATCATGATCATGGAACTTTGGCTTTTCCCCGAGATGAGGAGGAGATGGTTATTTGGTTGTGAGGTAAAATGTGATAGTCATTCTTGATTGAAGAACCTTAGTGGAACATAAAGAGCTGAAGACCAAAGGATAGGTTCTACCTCTTTCGCTTTAGCCCCGATTCTTTAGTCTGTGAAACAGAGAAGAGGAGAGGAGATTGGAGATTTGAGTTTTTTTTTTTTTTTCAAATTTCCCGCGTTTCCTATCTTCCCGCTCTCACCATGAAATCTACACTACATGTACGCATAAAGGGCGGTGGCTTTTGGTATACATAAAAATTTGTAACGTTATATATTTTTAAATTATCTTTGATAACAATCTATTACAAATATAGCTTTCTATTAAGTAATTTTTTTTCTAATTTCATTTTTCAACTTATTAGGTAAATCTTAATTTTTATTAGCAACTACCAATTATGGTTACGAATTACGATTACTTGTATATAACTATTTTTTATACACTTGATAAATTCTCTACATATGTATTATCAAAATATAAAACTAATTTTTAAGAAATAATTTCAATAAATATACACAAAAAAATTTTACAAATATTTTTCCTATTACTTGCACACACATCAGTATGTGCCTTGAACACTAGTATAGTTTATGTACTCACATTATATGAATTTTTTTTCTCAAAAGTATGATTATTAAATGAATTTTTTATAGTTAAAAATTTGTTAAACAAATACAAGTTTGAAAACAATAATTATGCATGATTAATATGGATATGTTTAAAAATATTGGTTGATTTGTAATGCATTTTAGATGTTATGCTATTTACTTATAATTTTGTGGGTGAAAAATAAATCTAGTTATAATTTTATCAAATTATTGATATTATATGCATATATATATATTCAGAAAAGAGTACCATGTAACTTCTTTTGCTTTAATTTATTTCAACAAGATAAAGATAGGATTTAAGAATCACATAACCAGAATGGACATTTGAACACCATATGAGTTTATGTGTGTGTATATACATAAATACATATATATATATATATATATATATGCACTAATCTCGCATCCAATGATCCACTTGCAATTAATTTATCTAAGTTACAGAGTGCATCTTTATAAGACGAGGGAATTTGTTATTCTTAGTTAAGTGCACTGATAAATGAATGAATTTGTGTGCACTGATATATTAGTAGTTGAACTTGGCTTGACTCAAACTTGCCCTTACTGTGTATTTTTCTTGAGTTCATTTTGGTTAAATTACAACATGCCATATGTGAAGCCAAAATCCATCTTTTAATTCTGCTTCTTAGATAATGTGCCGTATGCATACTGCTTCATTACAACAATCTCATTGAACGGCATAATGTGGTAGATTCTGAATTTTAACTTTCTTTTTTATAATAAAATTTATAACTTAAATGCAAAAACAAATAAGAACACAAAATAAATGATTATCCAAGAAATGAATGAATTTGTGTGAACAGATTACACACACAAAAAAAAGTATTTGTGTGATCTAAGATACAAAGAGTTAATTTCCAACTCAGCATATAGATTTTCAAGTAGTTATCAGCTCAACAGCTAAACAGTTCAAGTACATTGATAAATTACTGTTCTTAGTTTATGGCACGCACAAACATTAATGCCAGATTGCCACACCACTTTTATTTATAGACCAAGGCTTTCCTAATAACTAAGTCAAATTTGATTTGCCAAAGGAAACAATGTGACGCCCCTACTTTTCCCAAGGGCGAACCCAAGGGTATCCGCGAAACGCCTGCCTAGCTCTCGCCAGGACTCGAGACAAATCAATTCAAATTTAACAATATATAACAATTTATACCAGTCTAATAAGGAAAAATCGCTTCCATAATCGAATATCCAAGTCTTGCACCACGAGTTCAAAATACATCCGTTATCCAATTCTTACATCAGGATCCAAAAGATACATCAATTCCCAAATATATACAATAGCCAAAATGTCTAGTCAATTACAATTGAAACTCTAATACAAAAGTACATCCAAAGGGTTCCATCGAGTTTCACTACATCCATTCCTGTTAAGGAAAACAAATCTACGGGATGAGCCAATAGCTCGTGAGGCCAAGAAAACACACATGCAAGCACGTTGTCCAAGTAACAATCCCAATATAATAAGTAGAGCAATGCAATTTCAATATATAACAATTCGAGCGAGAAAATTAAATAGAAACAATTCAAGGATATAGGAGCTCTCAGGAGCTATTTTCCACTTGCTTCGTCATGGCTCGATCCGATACCCCCTCGTGATGACACTCCGTCATCCGGGTGGGTATTATATCCGTAGAAATTTCACTTATTACTTCCTCCGACCAACATTCCACCCTCTCGGATCCGTAACCAAACACGCACGAAAAAGGCAATACTCGTCGAGTATGCCTCATGAGATCTCAAGAGATCAAGTTTTGATTTTTGAACACGCACGAAAAGGGCGATACTCCACGAGTATGCCGAACAAGATCTCAAAAGATCAAGTTGTGTTTTGTTATTCTCTTGGTTTATCAAGCTTCTCGACCAAGCCCATGCTGACTCGAGTTGCAAGATTGGCTAAGAGAATTGGGCGTCCCCATAAGTCGAGGAGATTCACTCCACCCGACAACACGACACGCACGGCATACACGACATGCAGGGCAACACGACATGCACACGAAAACGGGTATATTTTAGTCGACGAGATTCACTCAAATCGACTTTGAAAACCAAGTTAATGCAAGTAAAGTTCGAGTAAAGGAGAGCGAGTGCGATAAAGTACACACTCGTCTCATCAAGTGATATTCACGTATATAAGCAGGAAAATCAAGTAAACACGACAAGTCATGCACTTGACACTCACCAAGTATTAAGTGCAAGTAGGGTCAAGGAAAGTTCAAGCGTCCACCGTGGGATCCTCTTGAAGGTCCTCGTGTGCGCCTGAGCAAATAATAGTGAATTATTGTTCACCCAACCCAATTATCGAGAAATAATTCGTGCACTATTGTAATCTAGGGAATTTTTGTGAAGAGAAACCTTAATTACTTGTAAATCGAGATTCGAGTGACGTTTCATAAAGTACAGGAGCATTTGGGTTTTTATCTTGGAAATCGAGGTTAAAACGTTTGCATAATGTCGAAAGAATAAAGAGTTCTTGGAAAACTCTATTTCCTTAAAAGTTGGAAAATTTCAGTTTTGATATGGATCTTTGAAAAATCGTATCTCACTCGATACAAGTCTAAAATTAGAAAACTTTCTACCGTTGGAAACCTCTTGGAAAGTACTAAAAGTTCTTAGAAGACACTTTTGCATGAATCTAAGTGGAAGGTATTCAAAAATGAGCTTGAAATCACTGTTTCAGAATGTTCAGGATTGAGCTGGGGTTGGTTTTTCGCTAACTTTGGAAATTCGGCAGAATTCACTCGTTGCAAACCAGCCCTTGAAATTGAAATTTATAATTCAATTAGAGGTGCAAGTAAGGTTTAGGACAGAACAAGCGGATCGAGAATCGGAGTTTCGAGCACCAAGATATGGTAGGTCAAAGTTGGGGAAAATTCAAGACTGGTATCTCTCTATTATATGAAGGGTATCTCTCTATCAAATTTCACAGAAAAATACCTTTGGGAAGGTAGTCAACGAACCAACTAAAATTTGGAAAAATTCTTAAGGCAATCTGCCTTTAATCCTTTTCTTTCCAAATCCAATCGTTTGGCTAAGAAAATCCTCCAATCATGGTTCATATGTGAAAGGAAAGTCTAAGAAACATTCATGGTACATTTGGTAGGTGTTTAACACCAAGAATTTCATTTAGTAAGACCACAACAAGTCTCATCTCAAATCTGTCCAAAACTAGGTTTTTCCAAAACAGAGCAGTGTTCTTGTTTTGATCACAACTCAGTCGACTTAACTCGGAATTGAGCATGGTTTATGGCGTTGGAAAATACATTCACAGGGCTAAAAATTCACAGAAGAAAACGTTTTGAAATTTGCCAAAGCTCGAAATTGAGCCTCAAGTTGCTGCCTCTACAAATCATTCCAGCAGAACAGAGAAACAGGACAGCTATCTTAAAACGAATGGTTCGGCTCCCACACATGGAACCACAACGTACATTTTATACCGTTGGAAAGGTATGGATGTCTAGTTTCAAATGCCACTGACGGCACTCGATTTCGACATTGGAGGACAAAGTTATGGTCGAAATGCTACCGCTGGACAGGGTTATCCGAAAACAGTTTTCCAGCTTGACTAGTTCACAAATAAATTCATTTGCCCAACCAAACGTTAATGTTTTCCAATGAAAATTTTTACACATCTAATACAACATATAAACATCAGATTCAAGCCATTATATCATAAAAAATTGGCCTTATCATGGCCGAACAAAGCAGGGGCAGTTTCAGAAATTTTTGTCATGGCCTCAACTTTGAGTTTCCAACAATAATATTCCATAGATCTATCATTTTAACCGCTAAACCACCATTAAATCCAACATTAAACCTCTTATCAACAACAACCCAAGAGTGGGAGTTCATAGAGCCCACTTTTCAAATTTTTCAACAATATCAAGCCATCCACTTACATGCAAGTGTTTAGAGATGCATTTCTACTACCATAAACCAAGTTTAAGGTGTTGGATTATGTTATACCTCCTTAGTGCTTTAGATCAGAAAATTTCAGTCCTCAAGAGGCTCCAAGAAACCGTGAAATGCAGCCCTTTGGTTAGCTAGATCCAACTTCCAAGTAGTTTGCTAGTTGATCTACAAGTTTGGTGAAGATTGGTTGGAGTTTTGTTGTTGATTTGGTGAAGAAATTTTTGAAACAATGGAGTTAGAGAGGGAGAGGGGCTGGCCGGCAATAGGAGAGAGAAAAGAGAGTGAGATTTGATCAAGGTTAGCTTCCAAGAGAAGATTAAAATGAGTGGTGTACATTCACTCCAAGGTCAACTCTCATTAGGGCTCGTTTGGTGCGTTTAGGGCTCGATTTTCTCTCGCGTTTGGTTCACTAGTGCACTAAACCTCTAATACACTTATGTTCATATAAATATTATTCACTCTTAATTGTCCCGAAATAAGGGTCTAACGTCCCTCA